CCTCCTCCCTCCATGGCCGACGCCCAGCCAGATTCAGCAGCCTGGCCGTCGACCCGCCTGGAAAGGTGGAGAAGAAGGCGGCCAAGGCGCCAAGGAAGTCGCGATCGGAGTGCACGCCGGAGGAGATCGCCAAGTTGGACGCGGAATCGGCGAAGAGGAGAAAAAGGAGGACGGTCGTCAAGGTCAATGCCGCCGCGGCCAAGTTCGCCGCCGAGCGCGATGCGATGGAGGCCGCGCGGCGCAAGGCCGCGATCGACGAGAAGGAGGACATCGTCAACAAAGCGTACGCCCTCCTCATGCTTGGCATTGGCCGTCCGGCCGGTTTCCCTGCAACGGCCGTCGGCCCGGCGAGCACAGGCTCGTCGGTCACCCGACCTCCGCACCGCCAGTCGCCGATGTCGCGGACCACGCCCATGTCGCCCGGCTTTCCTCCGCCAAGGCACGACGGCCAGACCCGTTTTCTCGGGGTCGTCGGACGTTGGCGTGATCGCGTCGTCCACACCACACCCCTCGGCCGTCATCGACCTCAACGTCACGCCTGGGTCCAGCAGCGGTGGTCGTCCGTCCGTCGAGATGCTAAGAAAGCAAGCACGGGCACCATGCTGCCCCCTGCATCTTGTTTGACGGAATGTCAACACCAACGCCACCAGTCGACGACCCCTTCTACAACCAGTACATGGAGGATGTGATCTTCGAGGATGGGCAGGGCCGTGCCTACGACCCCGAGGAGACCCGAAGTCAGGATGGCCGCGGCCAATTCGTCCCCGATGAAGAGACCAACGACCGTGCTGACTACAACCATGGTGACTCGTGGCATGAAGATGATGACATCTATTGCGAAAGTGATGGTGATGAAGAAGAAGGCAATGACGTTGATATTAGTGGCAAGCCATTGTTCATCGACGAGCCCACCCAAAGAGCGGAAGCACAAAAGAGGAGGAAGAGCATTCGCACAGGTTCATATACCCAAGATGAGGACAAGTTGATTTGCCAATGTTGGATGGAGATTAGTCAAGATCCGAAGACCGACGCGCAACAAAAGGGCATCGTTTTTTGGACAAGAGTCCACAAAACATTCCATGAAAAGAAAGATGTTTGAACCCTACCAAATTACAAGCAACCGTGGCATCACCTCGATTCAAAAGAGGTGGCTGTTCATCCAACAAGAGTGCAACAAGTATTGCCCCGCATTTGAGAGCGTTGAAGCACGGCCCGTGAGTGGTCTCGGCATTGGGGACATGGTATGCTCTCCCCATCCTAGTCATTTCCTTGCTACGGCCATGAGACTTCGGCCTTCTATATGTTTGCATGTTCAATTGTTGTTCATCATGTGGTGTAGGCATTTCAATCTTTGGAGCCATTCAAGGCCCGGCACAATGACAAGCCATTCACTTTTACGCATTGTTGGACGATCATCAACAATTGCCTTAAGTTCAAGGACCAATACCGTGAACTTCAAAGGAAGAGAGGCATGAAGACGACCAAGTTTGCCGAAGGTGGAGATGGCGAGGCATGCAAGAGGCCGAGGGGCAAGACCAACTCCAAGGTTGACGACATACGTGATGCCTCATCCATGGCATTGCATGACACTTTGCATGGCATGATGTCTCAAAAAGGATGTGAGGGACGAAAAGAAGCGGCAAAGCAAGGACGAGCAAATGAAGCAATACCTAGACCTTCAAAGGAAGAAGCTTGAGATGGAGGAGGCGGCAAGAGAAGGAAGCTCGACATGGAGGAGGCGGCCCGGAAAAGGCAGCTCGACATGAAGGAGGCGGCCCGGCAAAGGCAGCTCGATATCGAGGCCGACAGGCCAGGCAGAGGCACCTCAACATCGAGGCCACCAATGCCGCCACCAAAGCGAAGGAGGTGGCCCTTGCGATCATGAGCGTGGACTTGTCCAAGATGAGCGAGAAGACGAAAGCCTGGTTCGAGGCCAGACAGAAGGAGATGCTCGACGCTGACGACTTGAACTAGGTCGTCCGATCGGCCGTGGCCATTCTTTTGGGAGGCTGGCATGGGTGCCGCCCGACCGCTGGGCCGGCTGTGTGCCGGTGAGAAAAACTTTTATTTTGGAGGCCAGCTGTGTTACCGACGAGGACAACTATTCATTTTGGAGGCTAGCTGTGTTGCCGGCCGCTGGCTGATGTCGGCGATGGACATGTAGGCCGCTGGCTCTGTTGCCTGCGTGATGAACTGGGGCCATTGCCCTGATGAACTAGGGCTTGGCATTTGAAACCTTTTTTTTAAATAGGCACAGACAGAATGGGGGCAAACGTGGATGCACGGCCACCGCATCCCAGGATATGCTCGGACACGACCCTATCTCCCTATCCAAACGGACAGCATCCGGACGAAACGGACGTCCGTTTGGGGTCGCGCGGTGGAGTTAGCCTGGGCTCATGGGATTGCTTTTTCAAAACGCAAGCTCGTGGGATTGTTGGAATCCGCGATCCTGTGGCAATGGTTGGATAGGGAAGACTTGAAAAAAGATGTGATCTTTGTTGTTCGACTTTTTTTTTGAGGGAATCTTTGTTGTTCGACTTGGACGAACATACATACCGGAGTTGAAAGAGACGGGCCCGCTGCATGCGGCCGAGAGATGAGAGTCCAAATTATGGCCAGGGAGATCGAGGATATATAGCTGACTTTGCGTCACCACAAGTTAGAAAAAGATGTGATGTTTGTTCTCCATACTGGAACTGAGGCGGGAAAAAGAAAAGAGCGGAGAGGAGAGAGGCACGCATTCATGCAGGTCTTGGTCTTGGTCTTGGAAAAGAAAATCATTTCTTATTCTCTTTGTGAGACTCGTACGTACAGTACTAGGTGTAGGTGACGGTGAGACCGGCCACGGCCGCATCGCAGTAGGCAGCTAGCTACGCGTACGATCGATTCCAAAAAGGAAAAAAATTGGGTTGATTCGACGCGTACGTGCACTACCATATTCGGATCGAAATCGAAAGAGAAGAAAACGATTACGTACGTGAGTTGAACGCTTCGACGCGTGCGAAAGAAACCCCCTCTATCTAAAGATCGATCGATCATTCTTATCTTTAGCGAACCGCCAAGCTTGAGCATGCATGCGAGGACCGTCCCGGCCGGATGCTGCCACACCCGCGCGGCCTTCTTCCACGTCGCCGCCGCAATCACAACGCCTCTCGCGCACTCGCGAGATCCATGTCAAAGTAGGCCGTGCCATCCATTTTTCTTTTTCTTTTTTGAGCAAAAGAGGGTTTTTCCTCCGATTTTTATTAAAGAAACCAGCAAGCATCCGACAGGTTATCGTTTATAAACTGATCCTATTACAACCCAGACAAAGTTCAGAGCCAAGACAGACAAAGAAATACTATAACCAAGGGAGGCCACTGTCTTCCATCCATTTAATTTGATAGCATGTCTCTCTAGCGATGCAGTTCATAACCGACGAGGGCTGACTTCTCCCCCGTGCATCGGACAAAGAAACAGTACACGCCCTCTAAAGAATAAAGATCGATCATTGTTGTCTCAGCAAGCTGACAAGCTTGAGCAAGTTCCGATGCGAGGACCCTCCCTCCCGGATGCTGCGGCACGCGACCTCCTTCCACGCCGCGGCCCTCGCCTTGACCCCCTCGTCACCGAGCAGCCGCGCGGCCTTGCTCTGGATCTCCACCTTCGCCATGACCCCTCGCTTGTCTCGCCGGCGCCTGGCGCCGGTGACCCACACGTTGCACATGTAGCTCTGGTTGCAGAACTGGTCTGCGAAGTAGGGCCAGCACAGGAGCGGCACCCGTGCAACACGCCCTCCACGGTCGAGTTCCACCCGCAGTGCGACACGAAGCATGCCACGGAGCGGTGCGAGAGCACGCGCTGCTGCGGCGCCCACCCCACCACCAGCCCCTGCCCCTCCACGCACCCGCCTGAACGCGTCGAGGTCGAACCGGTCCTGCCCGGGTCTGGTGGTGAACTTTGGGCGGACCACCCACAGGAACGGCCGGCCGGAGAGCGCGAGCCTGTCGGGGAGCTCTTGGAACTGCGTTGCGTCCAGGAAGCCGGAGCTGCCGAAGGCCACGTAGACGACGGAGCCGGGGGGTTGCACGTCGAGCCAGGCGAGGCAGGCGAGGTCCTCGGGCAAGAAGTGCCCGGCCGGCCTCGACGTGGGCGCGGCCAGCGGGCCGAGAGGCAGCGCGTTGGGGAGGAGGGCCAGAGCGTCGGGCTCCAACTCCATAGAAGTGTTGCAGATGACCACCTCGGCGAGTGGCATCGACAGGTTGGTCTTGAGGACATTCTGGATGTTGGTTCTGCGCCTCTCAGGGGCGCTGGTGCTGGCCAAGCTGACCCAGGGGATCTCCGACGCGTCGATGGGCGGCATCATTTGGATCTTCCCCTCCCCCTTTACATTCCCTAAATATGCTCCATATTCTCAGTCGATCTTAACCATACCAAGAATGAAAATGTTTGATTTGTTCTTACCACTTTCATCAAGAACGCCATCCTCTATCAATTTGGGGAGGTTCATCCTCAGAGCAAACTCGGCCGCGGAGTACGTCAAGAACGAGGCAACACGGGCACCCGCCGCGGTGGCCACTTGCAGCGCCCCCGGCTTCATCAACTGCACCACCGCCGCCGCCCGGATGGCGCCCCATGGATAGGGCTAGTCCAGGCGTGGCCTATGCCTTGGTCCGCCCATATACCATATGGTGCCCTGCCTGCCTATACCGGTGGCTGGGAGCCCGGTGCTCGCCCTCACACCGGCGCGCCCGTCCTCGCGCCTCGACAGTTGATGGTCGCATACCGCACTGCTCCCTCCTACGCGCCACCGATCTACAACACCAGTCTGTATGCATCCTATGGTGCTCCATCGCCCCCTACATGCAGCAGTACAATGATGGTGTCTCTCTCTTTACGCCGATGCCGGCCCTACTGCCGACGCCACCACACCCGCAAGCTCCCATGACTACATCGGCCTCTACTTCGACTCTGAGCTGGGACCTAGCTGCTTTTCTACAAGCCATGAACAACTTTGCTGCACAAGGGAACTCAGGTACAGATTGGATTTTCGATTCCGGTGATTCTTGTCACATGTCTGCATCGAGTAATTTGCTTTCTTCTTGCACACCTTCGTCTTTTCCCTCTATTACTCTCGGTGATGGATCTTCTATTTCTAGTTACTGTGTCGGTCAGGCTCAAATCCAATCCCCAATTAAGCCTTTGCTTCTTCGTGATATTCTTGCAACTCCTGCTCTTATTAAAAATCTGATTTCTGTTCGCCAAATCACCACTGATAATCATGTTTCTGTTGAGTTTGACCCCTTTGGTTTGTCTGTGAAGGACTACCCGACCAAAGCCGAGATCGCTCGATTCAATAGCTCCGGTGATTTATATTCTCTCCATAGTGCTCCGGTCGCTGCTCCTCCAACATCTATGGTCGCCTCTATTGTTCTGTGGCACCAACGTCTCGGCCATCCCAATAAAAATGTGTTATCCACACTTCTTAGTGAATTTTGAATACCTTGTAATAGAGACTCTCATAATTCTTCTATGTGTCAGTCATGTCAATTGGCAAAACATGTTCGCCTTTCCTTTAGTTCCTCTCAATCCTCTAGTGCTTTTCATTTTGAATTACTTCATTGTGATCTCTGGACATCACCCATAAGAAGTGTATCTGATTTTAAGTATTATCTCGTGATTCTTGATGATTTTACTCATTATGTTTGGACTTTTCCTTTACGCAACAAATCCGACGTTTATAATATATTTCTTAACTTTCAACGCTATGTCCCGGTCCACTTTTTCTTCCCTATAAGATTCATCCAATGTGATAATGATCGTGAATTTGACAACTTTAAAAATCGAAATTTCTTTCTACAATATGGAATTCTCTTGCGCTTCTCCGGTCCTTATACCTCCCCTCAAAATGGCAAAGCCAAGCATTTTCTTCGTACTCTTAATGACATCATTCGCACTCTGCTTGTTCAATCTTCTATGCCTCCGAAGTTCTGGGCTGAGGTCCTCCATACGGCCACATATTTACTCAATATTCTTCCATCCAAAGTTAACCCACAAACTACTCCTTACTTCTCTTTATTTCTCTCTCATCCAAATTACTTCGACATTCGCGTCTTTGGTTGTCTTTGTTTTCCAAACTCCTACTCCACTTCTCCTAACAAACTTTCCCCACGCTCTACCCCGTGTGTCCATCTAGGTTTTTCTAACGAGCACAAGGGTTATCGTTGTATAGATCTTGTTAGTGGTCGTGTTCATGTGTCTCGTCATGTAACATTCGCTGAAAACATTTTTCCCTTTTCCGAGCATCAACAATTAGATCCCAACTCACCCACGCCGCCCACTAGTCCCTCTCGTCATATAATCATCTTCCCTTCTTTCACCCACCGACCTATCCAGAGGAACCAACCGAATCCTCTACCACGGTAGCGGATCCTGCCGTGACCACTTCTGTCATCACCTCTGTTCCAGCGGAGGAAAACCCATTACACTCTATCGTGGCAGACCTCCTGCCGCCGCAGTATTCACCGCCATCTCCCGCGTCCGCTTCCTCTGCTGCACCGGACACGTCCACCACATCTTCCCCCACCCCTCCTCCTCATGCTATTCGCGTTCCAGCTCCGACTAACGATCATACCATGCGCACACGTGCCAAGTCCGGGTTCCATTTACCTGCAAAAGATCGTCTCAATCTTCATGCATCTCTATCTCCTTCCTCTCTACCCAAATCTTACAAACCAGCTCTCCTAGATCCTAATTGGGCCGCAACTATGAAAGATGAATATGATGCCCTTCTGCAGAATAACACGTGGCAGTTAGTTCCTCGTCCTTCCAGTACAAATATCGTTTCGGGCAAATGGGTTTTTCACCATAAATTTAATTCTGATGGGAGTCTTGCACGTTATAAGGCTCGATGGGTATGCCGTGGTTACTCTCAGCAACACAACATCGATTATGATGAGACTTTCTCTCCAGTTATCAAGCCCAGCACTATTCGCACTGTCCTTAGCATCGTCGTCTCTTCTTCCTGGACAATTCATCAACTAGATGTCAAAAATGCTTTTTTTTCATGGCTCTCTTCAAGAAACAGTCTATTGTCAACAACCTCTTGGCTTCGAACATTCCTCCTATCCTAATCGTGTTTGTCTTCTTCAAAAATTTCTTTATGGTCTTAAACAAGCACCACGTGCCTGCTTCCAACGCTTTCCTACTTATGCTCAAACCATTGGTTTTACCCCTTCCCGTTCTGACACTTCACTCTTCACCTTTCATCACAACAACAACACCGCTTACCTTCTTTTATATGTTGATAATATTATCCTCACAGCTTCCTCACAACAATTTTTAGATCATATTATCTCTCTTCTTCGCCACGAATTCTCTATGACAGATTTACGTCTTCTTCACCACTTCTTAGGTATTGATGTTATCCGTGACTCCTCTGGTCTTTTCTTGTCTCAACGTCAGTACACTCTGGATCTTCTTTCTCGTGCTGGTATGCTTGATTATCAAACTTCCCGTACCCCTGTTTATACAGGTTCCAAACTCTCTGCCGACGGTGATCCTTTCTCCGATCCTTCTCTTTATCGTAGTCTTATCGGTGCACTTCAGTATCTCACTCTCACTCGTCCTGAAATTTCTTTTGTTGTCTAACAAGCTTGTTTATACATGCATGATCCTCGTATTCCACACTACAATCATGTCAAACGTATTCTTTGGCATCTCAAAGGCACACTAGACTTAGGTCTTCATATCAACAAATCCTCTTCCACCTCCTTGACAACTTACTCTGATGCAGACTGGGCTAGTTGTCCAGATACTCGTAGGTCCACATCCGGATTTTGTGTTTTTCTTGGTAACAATTTGATTTCTTGGTCTTCAAAAAGGCAGGTTATGGTCTCCCGCTCGTCTGCTGAACCTGAGTACCATACTGTGGCTCATGCGGTTGCTGATACGGTTTGGTTGCGCCAGTTGCTGTCGGAGTTGCACCGTCCTATTGAGAAAGCTACCATTATTTAGTGTGATAATATTTCAGCTGTCTACATGTCAGGGAATCCGATTCAACACCGTCGCACCAAGCATAGTGAGATCGACATTCATTTTGTTCGAGAGAAGGTGGCTCTCGGTCAAGTTCGCGTTCTCCACGTGCCTACTTCTGCTCAGTTTGCTGATATCTTTACTAAAGGCCTGACGACTACTCCATTTCAAGACATTCGTTTCAGTCTCAACGTCGTCGAGCCTACCGTTGACACTGCGGGGGGATGTTAGAATACAACTTGTATTAGGATTATGACTCCTACTCGGTTTGTAATAACGCTAGGTCAGGTGCGGCTTAGCTCTTATATATACTTCTTGTACCGGCACAATATTGCATTAACAATTATTCAATATAATTCTACATCCACACGCCCTCCGAAGACGCTAGACGCACCACCGAGATGGTGGCTAGGCAGGGAAAAACGTATTCCATCTAAAGGAGCTGCCGTCATCTTGCCCTTCTGAACATAACATAAACCTTAGCAAAACTCAAGGAAATATAAAAACGGAGCCCTCCTGCCGGCAAGAACCGGGATCCACCTGTTTAGCGGCACCGCCGGCGGGAGGCATAAATTGTCCGACGAGGCCCTTTTTGAAGTGATGTGCGTGGGGTATCTTGTGTGTGCCGCTTAGCAGTTGTGATGGTTTTCGCCCAATTTTCCATGATCAACTGGGCAATCTGGTTTTCGCTTGGTTTTCTTAATTAGCTGGTCAACTCTTATATTCTTAATGAATGCATGATAAGTGCCATTTTGAAAGAAAAAAAGCAGAAATGTTAACTATATTGTTGTCTTTTTATTTGTTTAATTTGCCATTTCTAATACGAGGCATATATATATTTGAAACAACGAGCCTTCTCACTGAAAACCACCAACAAGTTTTACAGTAACTCGAAAGAAAAAGTGAGTGAGAGAGAGAGGCGTAAAGATTTCTAAATCACTTCCGACAAACCGTCCTAGAAGACTTTAGGGCTAGATGTAAAGGCGATGAGAAAAATCTTGATCTTACGGCCATGGTCAGTAGTTAGTCATGTAGTCACTCTCTAAAGGAATTAGAGTTAGACCAAGCAGCAACATAAAAGCTTGTCCCCTTGCGCTTTCGAACGGCTGCCTAGAGAGGTAAAATTTCACAATATATAGCTAATTCATATGCTCTGTTAATTGTACAAAATTTCGCTCAAAAATATGATAAAGATCTTCTAGAGAAAAATATAAAATTCCACTTTGATATATCCAAGGCCATTTTTTTCTGATAAAGAACACCTCTATTAACTCAAAAATACCAAAATGCCATAGGACAGTCTTCTTGTAGCAATTCCCAACATGAAAAAAA